GAGGTGATGGAGTGTGAGACCTGAGGCTGCGGAGGTGACGCCTGAGGTACCGGCCCATGCACAGCGACTCAGCCGGCGACCGCCACGGGCTCAGACGAGACTTGTCGACTCGTTCCAGCTCAGCTTCACCGTGGTCATCGGGCGTCTGTCGACGTCAGGACCACCCATACAGCTCGCGGGTTTGAGGTCGCAAGAGCCAAGATGGTGGCGTTTGGACATCCCAACCATCACACAAGACAGCCTGTAGGTGATGGCGGGACGGCGCAGTGTTTGTGGCACTCGGCAGTAGGCACCCGCGGCACGGCCCCGCTGTCGGCTCTCGCGGGCTGCGGAACCGGCCCCAGAAGGGGACGGTCCGGGCGAGTGTGGCAGCTCCTGCGCTAGTATGGGCACCCTCTATCACAACACTACTGATCCTGGTCATTAGAGCTGCCAGGGATAGCGTCAGGAGCCGGTAGGAGTCAAAACCCCTCATATTTGAGACATCGTGTCCCATATACTCGCACAACAACCCAAAAAGTCCGAACGCGAACCCTGGACGCTGGAGCCTGGTGGGGGGCAAGAAAAGAATTTTCGCGTGCGAACACACACGCACTTGCCTTCGGGCCAATCCGCTAGGTTGGGCGTGCTTTCACAGCCTCACGAGAGTACTCTCAAGTTTGCACGCCGCGACACCAGTTCTTACTTCGCAGAGGGTCATCTGCAGCGAAGAGTCACTCACGTCTCACGAAGCTCGGTGGATGGGAAGTGCCCGTGCTCCGGCCCCGCGCCGTCGATCGTGACGCCCGAGAGCGTCACGCGCCGCGGCGGGCCGCCTGGCTCCTCCGGTGGCAGAAAGTTGATGCCCTCGAGCTGCGACGAGGCGGGAACGTACCGGACGCTGTAGCGTGCGACCGGCGTGCCGCCCTCCGAGGTGTGAGGGTCGCCGCGGTGGAAAATGAAGCGCGTGTGGATGATCGCGTCGCCCGGCTGAAGGGCCGGGCACTCCTTGATCGCCTCGAGCGCGGCGTGGCTGTCGGGACTCAGGCTCTGCATCTCGCAGGTCTGAGGCGCCTGCCGGCAGCTGGAGGCGTGAAGAGACGCCGTTCACGCCCGAGGCGGGCTCTCATCTCACAGGTCGGGTTTTGGGCAGATATGCATCTCGGCGCATCTCGGCGCATCTCGGCTAATCTTTCCTCGCCCGGCGGAGCAATGACCGCGCGCTGCGGCAGAAAGTCGGGCCGGTGCGAGCCGGGAGCGTAGGCCAAGCCTCCACCCGCCCCCGCGTCCACCGCGTCCAGCGCGACCCACACGTTGACGCCAGGCCCGGGGCCGTCTCGCTTGGTCGGCCAGAAGAAGAAGTCGTCCACGTGCCTATAGTGGAAGCGTCCGAGGACGTGTCTCGGAAGTGTCTTCTGAAGTGTCTTCTGAGCTGGGCGGGGCGGACGACGAGCGCGCCAGCCGCAGCCGCGCTTGCCGGGAGAGAGGGAGAAGAAGCCGTCGCGAAGCACGTGGAGAGGCTTGCCGCGCCCGGCGCCACGCACCTCATCCGGCGTCAGTTGCTCGGCAGCGGCCGCGAGCGGCGAGCGGAGCGCCACATCGAGGAAGCAGGCGTGCTCGCGCCACGCCTCCGTCTTGACTGTGCCGTATGTCTCCGCGTTGGGCATCATGGTGCCGACACTTCGGCGCACTGCAAGCACTCGGTCGAGGAGATCGCCCTGCAGCAACCCACGCACAAGCACGACGCCACTCTCGTAGAACTCTGCGACCTGCTCCCGGCTGAGCGGACCCTCGCGGGCGAGGTCGGCCTCGGACGGAGCGTGGAGCTCGTGGCCGGCGGCGAGCGACGATGCGGACGCAACGGCGAACTTGTCGAGAGGCGGCGTCGCGGCCCTACACATATCGTCCACGGGAAGCGGAAGCAGTCGGAGGTCGCGGAAGTCGCCGGAACGAGACAAGAAAACACGTTTGAACCAATCTTAACCATTTTATTCTCTTTTGCTACATGTATTCTAGCATGCATTGCTAAATCTCTCTCTCTCGTCGGAATGTGAGACCCACACACCAAAATCAAGAGAGAGAGAGCTTCCAAGAATCTCTCTCCAAAATCAACACGCCCGTCAGCCCGGACGTGCCTGCGGGCGGACGGCAACGCTTGCCACTCTCCCCGTGTTCACGCGCTTGGCTGCCGAGAGCACTTTCAAAGCGTCACTGTGCGGCGCGAGCGGCGGCGGCGAGCTTGTTGAGGTTGCCGCGGTTGCGCCTGCCCGCCTTGGTCATGAGGGGCACCATCTCCCGGCCTTCCCAGCGCCACACGCCGCCACGGTGGGAGGTGAGCAGCGAGGCGGTCGGCGCCGAGAGGCCGAGCGCCTCGCCCGTCACCGAGGCGCTGCGCCGCGATGGCTCGAAGCGGAAGACGAGCGAGGGCTGGAGGAGAGCGGTGGCGAGGGAGAGGAGGTTCGTGCTCAGCGATGCCGCTAGGGCAGCCAGCCCGCTCTCTGAGGAGAGCCCGCCGGCCCCGCCCGTGGCTCCAGACCACGCGACTGCGGCACCTTTGAGCGGGCAGCGGGCGATGCGCGTCCCTTCATCCCACGAGCAGTGCGAGGTGTCGTAAAGCATCAGCGGGGAGCCCAGCCCAGCGACGTGAAATACTCCCAGGAAGGGCAGGCCAGGCGGCGACCCGCCCTGCAGGCTGCTCACGGGAAGCGTACCCGGCTCAACTACGACCAGCGACGGCGCACACAGCCAGAGCATCGCCACGAGCAGCAAGGCCGGGTGAGCCGTCGCCAGGTGGAATGCCTGCTCGTGGGGTCGCAGTGACCAGCAGGTGCGGCCCGAGTAGCGGCTCTCCCAGTAGTCCCGCGACACCTGCGCGCACGAGGCTCGGGTGGAGCGAAAGTGTAGCACTGAGCGAAAGTGTAGCACTGGCGCAGAGATTGAGGACGCCTCACCGCATAATTTCTCCGCTTTGTCCAACCGAGGCCCAGCGCGAGGAAGAAGCGTTGGGTAACGTGGTGCCCGACCGCGATGAGGCCGGCAGTAGCGATCGCGACGAGGCCGGCTGCTGGGAACAGCATCGAGCTGTGTGTGTGTGCACACCCTCGAGCTTCTCTCCGTTTCGGAATCGTAGATAAAGAATTCGCCGCGGGCCGATCCCTCCTTTGCCGTCCTCCCTCGGGTTGTTTTTTCTTTCTTTCTTTCCCTCCTTTCCTCAGCATTTCTTTCTTTCTTTCTTTCTGGTACTGTGGGAAAGAAAGAAAAGGAGCCGGACGGGTAATGGAAACAAGCAGGGAGCCTCCGGGAGAAGGAGAAAGAAAGAAAAGAAGAATGAGAAAGACACCAGCCAACGGAGCGATGGGATAAATAAAAATAAATAACACGGGCACGCCAAACGAGGGGTGGGAGAAGGACAGGGTCCCCACCTGCACGAGCAGGATCTTGTAAGGACGATCAGGGACACAGGGGAACGGGAGCGGGGAGCGCGATGGGAGCATGGCACTCCGCGAAGTCGCGCGTTTCTTACAGCTAGTGCGCGCCAGTCCCGTGCCCAGTGTAAAAAAGAAAGAAAGAAAACAGACAAGCCAAGGGAGGGATGGGAGAACGGCACGCCGCCACCACACAGGGATTTTAAGGAGAGGAGTGTGATGCGCTAGCCGTGCCTAGTGTTGTGCGACGGAGTTGAATTGTAAAATTCTTACAGCTGCCAAGGCGCGGGAAATCTGTCGTCACGCCTCTTCGCGCCCGAAGCACCGATGAGCTCATCGCCTCTCGCCCTCTCCGCCTCCGGCAGCTCGCGTCGCTCGGCGAGCTCCCCGCTGCAGTCGTCCGACGTGGCCAACACGCCGGCCGGCCCGCAGGCTGGCCAATCGACGCTCCGCTCGTCGCCGCTCGTCACGCCGCACGCTGGAGGCACGCCCGGCTCGCGCGCCTCTCCGCTGAGCCTGCTGGGATCGCAGCGGTCGCAGCGGTCGCGCATCACGCCAAACAGCCTCGGCCGCTCCAACCCGCCCAGCTCGGTTGGCCGCGGCACTGGCACCGACCCCGACGACGGCAGCGGCACCGGCGGCGACGGGCCGTCGGCCAAGATCTGGGGCACCACCGTCGACGCGAAGCAGTTCCGCCGCGCGGCCAAGGCCTTCTTCACCGAGTTCCGCGACGAGTCGCAGGACCTCGAGCAGGACCCGTACTACATGCAGCTGCTCGAGCAGACCCTCGCCACGCTCGAGGAGTTTGTCAACGTCGACTGCCGGCACACACCACGCCCCTCACGCCCCACGCACCTCACGCCTCGACCGCCACCCCCGCCCATCGCTGCCGTCCTTGCGCTCGCTCTCTCACCCCCCTCACCGCTCCCCTCCCCCCTCCCTGGTCTGGGCCGTGCTTTGTTTCGTTCCCCGCCTTACCGTCCGTTTCCGGTTGGGTGTTCCTCTCCCGGGTGGACCGGATGTCCGAAACCGCCGTTCAGGCCGACCGGCGGCCCCCTTATCCGGTAACCATCCGC